TGCTGCTTGGCCTGCTGTGTTCATCCAGCCCTGCACCTTGTTGTCTCGGATTCTCCAGCATCTGCAGTTCCTACTATCCCCCTTCTCCTAAAAGGAAATAGTTTAGAACAGTTCAGAAGCTGGTGACATCAGTGTAAGGATTTTATTTTGTAAATTCCAGATTGGAGGTGTTGCTTACAACCCTCGGGCTATTTGAAGCAGAGTCTGCGCTCAGTAGTGTCACTAATCCAAGAAGTGGTTACTTAAGTCAAGACTGGGAATTGGGGAAACAGTTAAGTCCAACCTATAGATGTGATAAAAAGGTGAATTCCCTCAGTGCTGCAAAGTCATGCTGTTGATGGTGTAGATGAAATTACAGTTTACTGTTTTTTGTGTGTGTCATTATGTACCTTTTTTTTCTTTCAGTGAAAGACCTTGTTAAATTTAAATAATCAAGCCAGATTTCGGTGTGGAATCTGACTTGTTCAGCAATACCATCAGTTGAGATCATATCACTGTAACTACCAGTTCTTCTTTATCTAGTCTAGCAGTTACATCTTCAAGAACTCCCATCAGAGGATTTTGTCTTTCAGTAAAGATGTAATTCGATGTAATTCAATGTAATAGACGGGCTCGATTAGTAATACCGTGCTTTTCTAGATGTATTAAACTTCTTTAAGTGGCCTGTAGGCCACTCCTTCCTTTTTTTTTCTTAATATGATCTAACATCTGTTAACTTGCAAACTGATAGGGTCATTCCTGACTCCAAGGAATTTTGGAAAATCATAGCTAGCACATCTACTAACAGCTTACACCCTAGAGTTCCTAAACCAACAATTTAGATTCTGGGGGTTTGTCTTGATTTTAGTCCCTTGTGGTTCTTCAATACTTTTCCTGACTTGTTAATACTAATTTCTTTGCTGTATTCAACCAGCAATCATTGTACAGGATGCATTTTATGCATTCTTTCCTGTCTTTGTGATGAAACTTGTCTTTCACTGTGAATACAGACACACAACTTGTTCAATGCCTCTACCATTTCTTCATTCCCCAACAGCAAAGAATTCACTCGAACCTGCCATCGTCAGCATTGCCTTCTGAACTGCAGTTGATTTAGTCCTCCCTGATAGGAGCCCAGTTGGATATCTGTTGCTCCTGTGAGACAGATACTGCCTCTGCTTAATGCTGTCCTGTAGCTTTCTGATATGGATGCATTAGATGAATAAATCCTCATCACCCCAGTTGACTGCTGAAGTGTAGAAAGTCCAGTCCGTTGCTGTAATTTTATGGCGACCACTGTCTCTGCTCCACCAGTGTTGCCACACAAAATCATACTGTACAGAAACAAAAGTAATGAGATTATAACTAAAAGAACGTTTCACTCCCCAGTGTCACTCGGATTAGGATTGGATTTGGATTTGGATGGTCATTCAAATACTTCATCTGTTTTGTGATAGTGTAGGAGAAATGCAGTACAATTTCCATACCAGCAAATCCAAGGTTGCCATGGTCTTCTGTATCTTGTAGATGCGAGAGAAGCATAGGGCTTAATTCTTTAAGCTTCCTTTTGGTAAGTCATTCAACTCTGCTGGAGCAGGACTTCCCAAAATTTTGTGAAAAATTGCTAGGCAAAGTTTTTTTGGTTTAATTTGCTCCTTCCATGACTACACAGAAGCAAGCTACATTCTATAATTGGTTCTAGTTCTGACAATCTCTAAAGAAAGGAGTGAAACAGCATGATGTGCTAGCTCTTGAACTCGTTTTGGCGTTTTCATGCTTCTGACCTCTTGCCTTTGCTGAAAAGATGGAGGAGTCTACTTGCATACCAGATCAGATGATAATCTGTACAAAACATCATTGTTGAAAGCAAACATAAAAAGATTGTCTTGATCCAAGAACTACTCCATACTTGTGGTGCTAGTCACCCACACAGAATCTCAGCTAACAGGGCGCATGGTTCATTTCTCACTTGCCATAAGTTATTTACCCTGACTATAAGTATTAAGACCATTGTGTTATCGGACAAGGTATTGCATCTTTGTCCCAACCACACTAACGTCTAACGTCTAACGTCTAACTGGGAGTAGTAGGCAAATTCTGCTACCTCCTATCCCCAGTGATAGACAACTTCCCTTGATGCAAAACTTGATACATATATAGGGTAAGCAGCTACTGCTTTTTCAACTGACTCATGAATCAAGCATTGAATAATATCCAGCTGACCCTTTTGTACTAAACCATGGGTCTATACTATTGCAGCAATGTACCAAGGCTCCTTGGACAGCATCTTCCAAGCCCACAACCACTACAAGGACAAAGGCAGATGATTCTTGGGAGCACCATCATCATATGCAAGTTATCATTGTTACTTCACCCTCACCCCTAAAGGAAAATCATTCTGGATGATGAGAGAGCCAAATCTCAAGTGAGATGACCAAAACTTGGCTTCAAAGGTGCTTGCAAGTGTGACTGCCGATACATTAATTTATCATGCCTAGAATTCGTGTCTGATGGAGGAAAATTTACTGGAGCCGTATTCACCACGGTGGTTACTGCAATAGTGCCAACACCAAAAATTAAATAACCTAGAAAGGCACCTGGAATCTTCATGCCCAGCACTTGTATCAAAACTGCTACTTGAGGATTAGCACCTTCAGCCAACAGCAAAAGTTCACCATTAGATGGCCCCCATCAGAAAGTGATGTAATGAGTCATTTGTTTCATAAATCCACTATTTTATACATGTCCTTGAACAGGAATCTGTAGGAGAGAAGTAAATGATGTGTATAGTTTAAGAGTAATGTCAATGAATGTAATGTACATTCTTGCCTTAAAGTGGCGATAAATCGCTTCCTAGCACCTCAAGCCAGATGCAAAGATATAGGTGGCAAGTGTTTCCTTGTTTGTAAGACCATGCTATTTTAAAAAAAATTGGTGTTTTCTACAGTTGCATTAAGTGTTTCTTTAGGTTAATAAATCTATTGAATTGTAATTTGGATCCCTGATAGGTTAGTTGATTTAAAAATAAGTCACTTCCAGGTTTAGCACAAGCATAAAACCCAGAGGCCTTAGTTTAATTTGTGCAGTATACTGAATTAGATGACCTCCGCTTGTGTAGCATGTTCAGAGATTGCATTTAAACTTAAACTAGCAAAGGAAAATTCTTTTGGTTTGACCTTAATATATACACTGTGCTTCACAGAAAACATCATGAGTAGATTACATAACATTCATTTAAAAAGTATAAATTCAACGTTTGCAATAACTTTGTTTGCATTGTTGAATAACAATATTCAAGTGACTTCTGAAATTGTGCACGTGGGCATGAGGTGAGATATGTAATGTGACATATATAGTTTTTTTTATATATGGATAGCAACAGAACCCCATAATGGCTTACAGTAACTACATGAGAAATTTTGCTTTTAGTAAATTATCCCCTTCTACTCAATTATAAATTGCAGTTCATATTGGCAATGGATTAAAATTATTTTGTTTTTGCCATTTCCAGGAAGTTTGTTCCTGTCGGAGTAGACTCTCTGTTCCAGTTGGATCAGCTAATAAGGTCAGTGTTTTAATTTTTTTTTTAGGGAAAACAGTTGTGTTGTCTTTTAAAAATGTGTACGTCACTGTCAGAAAAAGGAGAATATTGATAGGAGTGGGAAAGAAATTACCTTGTGGTCTGATTCATCAATATTGCTGGCTGATGAAGCAGTAAATCATGTGAGACCAGAATCCTTTCTTGGCTGTTGTATGCCTACAATTTTCTTACAGGATTGTGTCAAAAGAGGGAAGCCATTAAGACCTGCTGACTGGAACACGTGGAAAATATGATACAGATGGATGAAGACCATATTTGGGTTCACATGTTATGCCTTAGGCAAATGTGCGATCTCTCTCGCGCACTCGCTCTCGCTCGTATTTTCAACCTATATGTAGACGAGGTAAAGAAAAATTTAACAGTACAGAGGCTATTATCCATAAATCTAAGCAAGACTTGGTACCTTTTCATGAAGGCTAAATTATTTTAGTTTTTACTATCTGTCATTTTCCTACTATATTTAGAGGAGGTCATTGGGATCTAAACAACTGGAAGAAAAGCCACCATGACTAAAACAGTTATAAGATGTAATATTTACAAGGCCATAATTTGACGAGTGCTGATATGAATGTTGTGGGATTGGAGAAGATTGCAGAGAAGGAGAGAAACAAGGTTAGGGAGAGATTTGCAAACCAGGTGAAGACTTTTAAATCAAAATGTTGCTTCACTTGGATCCGTCAATGGGCACAAAAGTGATGGGAGTTGAGATTTGCTGCAAGTTAAGACATGGGCAGCAGAGGTTTGGATGTCTGGATGTCTGGTTTAAAGAGGGTAGAGTTGACCCAATCCAGATGTTACATATTAGAGGTAACTCCAGGCCAGTTAGTTCATTTTGCAGGCTTTGAAAACAAATGTAACTGGGTGGCATATCGAGACCTGCATATTTAGACAATTAACTATATTGCAGAACAATCAAGGGTGCAAACATCTATTTTCTGCTTAATAACATTCTAATAATTTGTCTGTTGCATTTGCCATAGTATCAGCTGTTTAATTGGATACAGTAAAATCTTTGTCAAATTGCAGCAGCCCACCTGCAAATGTGTGTTAAGTGGAACCTTGAGAAGCTGAGGAAGCCCCTATGCAAGCTGGTTTCCTTGCAAATACACTGGTTTTTAAAAATGAACTAAAACATTGAAATACTAAATATGTGAAATAGGTGCAGAATTCATAGGCAGAGAGATCAAAAATCATACACCTTGTGAATGGAGTGTCAAATAATAAGTCTCTGCAGGTGATGAAGGCGCTGGATATGGCCAATAGAGTACCCTTCATTGTCCAGTACTTCCCCGGAGCGGAGAGACCTACGCCATGTTCTTCACAGCCTTCAACATGTCATCAATGACAATGAGCATCTTGCCAAGATCATCCCTACACCACCTTGCCTTCAAACAACTGCCAGAACTTAAACAGACCATCGTTTGCAGTAAACTACTCCTCCTTCAGGACAACATTGACCACAACGCCCCACACACCTGCCGTGGCAACCTCTGCAAGACATGATAGATCATCGGCCTGGATACCAGCACCACATGTAGGAACACCTCATACGCGACAGATACTCATTTGGCCAATGTTGTCTATCTCATACGCTGCAGGCAAGGATGCCCCGAGGCATGGTATATTGGCTAGACCGTGCAAATCCAAGACAATGGATGAATGGACACAACTGAACTATTGCCAGAAAGGAATGTTCCTCTCAGTTGGGGAGCATTTCAGCAGTCAAGGACATTCAGTCTCCGATCTTCAGGTAAATCTTCTCCAAGGCAGCCTTCAAGATACATAACGCAGAATTGCCGAGCAGAAACTGATAGCCGAGTTCCATACTCACGAAGATGGCCTCAACTATGATCTTCTGTTCCTGTCAAGCTACGTGACCCTACCATGTTGTTCAGTATCTGTAAAGTACTCCTTACTGTCCTGTTCTGACACTATCGCTTGATAAATTGTTATGCTCTCTCTACCTTAATCAGTTTTAATAGTTTTGGATTACTTATTACTTTCACGTGCTGAGAGTCTAGCCACTCTTATACCTATCATGTTATTCCAGCCATTTGGTTTATCTCCAGCACCACCTTTTTTTTTTTTATTTTTAATTTTTTTTTTGTAATTATGTCCTTGCCTTAATTAATCTGATTTATAGATCATTCTTTGACTTGTTAGTCAGCTGTTGACACTTTATTCACATGGTCTGATGCCTTTGATCACCTGCAGGGACTTACTATTTGACACTCCACTCACACCATTTGTATGATCTTTTGATCTCTCTGCCTATAAATTTTGTGCCTGTGTGCAGCTCTGTCACTTCACTTGACGAAGGGGCTATACTCCGAAAGCTTGTGGTTTCAAATAAACCTGTTGGACTATTAACCTGGTGTTATATGACTTTTGACTTTGTCCACCCCAGTGCAACACTGGCACCTCCACATCATGAACATCAATGATGTGTATTTGACTGTTGGATAGTAGGTGGTGCTCTTGACAATGACTTGCCAGTGAATCAATCCATCCAACCCTTGTGAAAGTCTAGAAAACTACTTTCAATGGCAATTCAAAGCACAATGCTGTAAGCGACACAATGGTAATGTACAAAAATTACTTCTGGCACCAATTGCCACAGTTTTTAAATTGATTTATGCTTCAAAAAAAAGGAAAAGGCTAACATAATTTTAATCTCTATCCTCAGAGGTTATAATGTTTTGAATCACCTTGACTCCTATGTTGTCATTCTTAGCTTAATAGTAACGATTATAAAAATAGGCTTAGTTCAATTAATTACTCCATATACAATATATAGCACAAAATTGAGTGGATCAGCTTTTTTAAAAACTTGCGTATTTGCAGTTGATTGTACTTGTGGATTACGCATGACTAGGAAAGGTTTGGCGGGTTATGGGCCAAGCGTAGGCAGGTGGGACTAGTTTATTTTGGAAACGTGGTCGGCGTAGACTGGTTGAAGCAAAAGATCTCTTTCCATTCTGTATGACCCTGACACTTTGTGCTGTTCTATTTCTGAATTTAATGGCATGGCAACATTAATGAAGTATGCAATGTTGGTCAATTGAAATATCCTTTTATTGCAGATTTAGTTGCTATTGACGGGGATCTCTTGTGTATGTTCCATAATTAATGCAGTATAACAAACTGTAGTGGGGATTCAGTAGAATAGTCCATGTGTACATTTTAATTTAGCAAAGCAGTTTGCTTTGGTACGTAAGTTAACTTGTGTTTATTGCATTCATTTTTATAATATTTTAAGTTGCAGTGATGTACATTGCGCATTACTGCCCGATCAGGACAGATACTTGACCGATATTTCTGCTGTGCTGAAAAAAGATTATAGTGCTGATTTTTCCAGACAATCTTGATGAAATTATTTTACAGAGGTTCAAAGGGGCAAATGTTATTTTCTTGTACCTTTTTTCTGTTGGAGTACTTAGAATATTCCAGCAGTCACTTGGGGCAGGGATGCTTGAGGGCAACTAGAAATGTAAATTGGATGCCCCTCAAATATTCACTGTATGAATGTAGAGCCTTTAATAATCTCAGTATTTACGTAGCGTCATTCCTACCTTCACGCTTTGGCTTTGTGCATCAGTCACTTCTTAGATGTACCGAAATTTATTGCTCCACTGTCCAATTCAGGGTCTGCATCTGTTGTCTATTAAAGCTGCTTTGATATTATGCCAGCATTCATGCTGATGTTAGAGGCCTCTGAGCTTTCTGCACGTGCAACCATATGCAATCCAAAAGTAAGCTGTCCTGTTGCCATCATCTCCAACTTGGCACACATGGCTGCTTCAGGGCCATGCAAATTGGTAAGCACCACCAAGCTTGATCTCCAATATTTGGCTACCCAATATTGTATGTTTCTTCTGTCATCTGTTTTCTATCCCAATTCCTCCAGGCAAAGATTAATTCACTGAGTTACGAAGCCAAAAAAGTCTAAAAACACTTCAGATTTCATGGGTTAATAAAACGGTGAGAAAATTGTTTGTTTTTAATGCAGTTTTCAAATGTCACTCCTATGAAATGACTAGCCTGATAGCAGGAAACATTCCTGGGCACCTCCTAATCTTTCAATTCTATAAGTTAAACTTTGCGTCACGGTCAGAAGTTATTGGTCATGTGGCAGGAGGGAAGCTCTAGCGCCACCAATAGATCATGTCTTTCATTCTGGAAATAGCATCTAGACTGTTTAAACCTGCTGACTGGTCAGATCTGCTGACTGGTCTGTTTCCGTGCTGTATGATCCTGACTGAAATTGCATTAAACCCTGTGTCATGAGATTATGGCTGTGCCAATCACTACCATCTTTAATTGATCAATTAGTAATTTAAATTAATTTTAAAATTTCTTTGTGAGATGTGGGCATCACCGGCTGGCCAGCATTTGTTACCCATTTCTAGTTGCCCCTGAGAAGGTGGTGATGAGCTGTCACCTTTTTAACCACTGCAGTTCCCCTTGCAGTGGATTGACCCACAATGCTCTGAGGGAGGGAATTTCGGGATTTTGATCCAGTGACCGTTAAGGAACGGTGATATATTTCCAGTGCAGGGTGGTGAGTGGTTTGGAGGGCAAGTTTGAAGGTGATGTTGTTCCCATGTATCTACTGATCTTGTCTTTGTAGATGGAGGTGGTCGTGGATTTGGAAAGCGCTGTCTGAGGATCTTTGAATTTCTGCAGTGTATCTTGTATCTTCTAGATAAATACTGAGATTATTAAGAGCTCTACATTAATACACTGAATATGGAGGGACATCCAATTTACATTTCTAGTTGCTCTCCAGCATCCCTGCCCCAAGTGACTGCTGGAAAATTCTAATATACTGCAACTAAAGGACTTTTGTGGATAGTAAACATTGTTGCTATAGCGCATTGGTGAAGAGAGTGGATGTAGGGCCAGTCAAGTAGGCTGTTTTGTCTAGGATGCTATCGAGCTTCTTGAGTATCATTGGAGCTGCA